ATTTTAGTCAGAGGAACCCTCCTCAAATAACAGATAACTGGTTTGACCTAAATGCATGGCACAGTTAAAAGCATTTGTTTTCATCTTCGTCACTGCCCTGTTGGGATTTTTTAAAACATTTTCAACTCCATGCAGACTTGGAAAAACATTTCCAGGTCTGCTATTTCTGGAAAAGTTCTTAGATGAGACCTGGAAGAGATGAAGCAAATTTTTTTTTTTTTCCTGAGATTCCACTTACTCACTGCCCCATGAGAGGGTTTCCAGAGAGGAACAAGAAACATTCAGGATTAGCAAATTCAGTAGCCTCCTCTCAAACAGCTGGAAGAGTTTAACATGTCCTGGGAACCCATCTTTTTAAGACAACCACCCAAGAACCCTGTTCTCTACAGGGGAAAATATTCTGGCGGTAAAATAAACTGGAAAAACAGATTAAGACTTGGGAACGATTAAATAAAGGTAATTTTTAAAACATATTTTATCTTGATTTCTCTCCTTTTCAGAATTTCTTCAAAACAGATGTCAACTTTTCAGAAAGACAATTATTTGTCAGGCAAAAGCAGTCCCAATTAGGACTTGTGTCAAGGAAATAGAATTATCCATTTGCCTAATGAAAATGAATATCTGACCATGTCTTAGGGATGGGTGCCTTCTCAGGTGGGACGTGTACAATTTGCTTTTTATAAACTTCCTTCGACAGAGCCTGGCAGATTACGTTAACAGGGAAGAGATGACTGAAAGCAAACTTCACGTTCAACGCCAACGGAACAAGTGGATGGGCATATTGTTATTCCTCATAAATCACCAGGGGAAAAAAGGTCTGAAAGTAAAATGCTCTTTCACTTAATTGCCAGGCTTCATTCACCTGAGAAACAAACTGTTTACCCAACTCCGGACAGGCTGCTGGTAGCAAGGAGAGCCTGGGTGGTGCGAATGGTTAATGCGCTTGGCTGCTAGCCCAAGGGCTAGTGGTTCCAGTCCACCCAGAGGAGCCTCAGAAAAAAGTCCTCGTGAGCTACTTCCAAAAAATCGGACACTGTAAACCCCGTGGAGCACGGTTCTACTTTGACACACATGGGGCTGCCATGAGTCAGACTCAACGGCAACTGGTTTTTTGGAGGTTTTTCTGTAGCAAATGTGAGGGCGTCAAAGCTGCAATTTTAGGCACTATTGCTTGAATAAATCAAATTCTTTAACAGGCAGTGTGCATTTTGGCAAGAGAAGGGGAAAAGCCAGTTCCTTCACTTTCTCTTCCCAAGTCTGCCCTTGGGATAACTCTACCGGCTTGAGACTGTACCTTCCCACAGAGCCTGGACTGGCATCCGTTACCTCTAAGAGCATCTCTCAAAGTCATCAGCAATGCTAACAGAGAATCAGGACCCAGGGGAGATCCTATGAGAACAGTGGAGACAGCTGGTGTTGAATTTCAAGAAGACTCATCAATACAAGACTAGAAGCCCTAAGCCCAACACTCCCAAGGGCTGGGCCTCTGAAAAGGCCATACTCCTGGACACTGAGCATGCCTCCTGGGCCAAGCGCAGATCTCACCTTTAAATGTTGTAAATCAAAAGAGTCTGGTGTTATTTTGTCTCTTCCTACCTTAGCAGGGTAAGGGTCCTATCAATTCATTTTCTAAATCCCTCTCCATAACCATGATTCTTGTCCAACTGAACCGCTCTCTTGTTCTACGGTCCCTTCTAATCCATTCCTCACTGGCAGCCCCAACAAAGCTCCAGTGGGTTAGGAAGCTTCAAAACTTCAAACCAAACCACCAGTTGCCACTGAGTCAATTCCAAGTCATGGTGACCCCAGGTGTATCAGAATAGAACTGTGCTCCCTAGGGTTTTCAATGGCTGATTTTTTGGGAGTTGATCACCAGGCCTTTCTTCCTAGTCCACCTTAGTTTGGAAGCTCTGCTGAAATCTGCTCAGCATCATAGCAACACAGAAGCCACCACTGACAGAAAATGGTGGCTGAGCATGAGGTACACTGGCCACGAATCGAACCTGGGTCTCCCACATGGAAGGCGAGAATTATACCACTGAACTACCTCCAGAGAATGCAACAGGAACATAAGAAATATTTCCTGAACTGAAAAGAGGTTCAGTAGAATAAGAGGGAACTCTCATACACTGCTGGTGGGAGTATAAATTGGCGCAAACACTTTGGAAGGCACTTTGACAAGATCTAGTAAAGCTGGGGATGATTATACTCTATCACCTACAACTTCCCCCCTAGGTGTTTGTCCTGCAGAAACCCTCCCATGTGTGCACAAGAAGACTAGTGCAAGAATGTTCACAGCAGCACTGTTAGCGCGAAGAACCAGAAACAATTAAGTGTCCATTGTATCAACCAGGATCACAGCAGGAAACAGCTGGCATACTCAAACCTGGATAATCAGAGGAGGGTTTTTAAAAGGCTCTCTCTGGGATGGGGTGGGTGTAGGGAAACTACAGAACAGTTTAGTAGCCAAGACAGAAAACAGAGCTGTGGTCACTTCTACATGTGAGGGAGGAAGGGAAGAAGTGGTTACCCAAATCTGGAAAGAGTCCAAGAAGAAGGTTGCCTTGACAGAAGCAGTGACTTTCAGGTGAGGAATACAGACAGCCTAAGACCAGCCCACAGGAATGAAATGGGGGGAAAAAAATCCCTCATATGTGTTACCCTCTCCCTCTGATCTCCTGTCAGGACTCCCCACTGGCCGAACCCAATGGAAGCCAGAGGATGTTGAGCCCACTGATGGAGGCCATAGAGGTCAATCTCCTGGAGCACAGCGAAGAAGGGAAGAGAGATTTGGAGAAGTAAAGGAAAGGTATTCAGCACATCTGTTATGGATTAAATTGTGCCCCCATCCCCCACCAAAAAAAAAAAAAATGCTGGAAACCTAACCCTCATATCTGTGGGTGTGATAGTTTGGAAACAAGGTTTCTTTGTTATGCTAATTAGATCAGACCCTAGAAGGGTGGATTCTAAATCTAATCCCTTCTGAGTTATAAAAAGAGCAGACATACACACAGGGAGAAGACAGACGCCATGTGAGGACCTTCTACAAGTCAAGGAACCAAAGAATGCCCAAGACTACCTACAAGGATGGAACTGACATAGACAAGGCCCTGATTTGGACTTTTAGCCTCCGGACCCATGAGAAAATAAATTTCTGTTCTTTAAAGCCACTCACTTGTGGTATTTATGTTTCAGCAGCACTAGGGAACTAAGACAACTTCCATCAACAAAAGGTATAAAGGATATACTCATACAATGGAATACTGCCCAGCAAGAAAATGAGTGAACGAGAGCTACTCATATCAATATGAATACATCTCAAAAACTGCATGTTGGGTGAAAAAGGCAACCTGCATTACAATATGTACAGAATGGCACTACAGCAGACTGTATTTTCCAAAATCAACGAGAATTGTATTTCTAGCCCCATATGCTCTTCCAGAAACTTGCGACTCCCCTTGGAGGTGCAAAAAAAAGAAAAGAACAAGGTTCTAGGGCAGAGAAGTACAGAAGCCTACTTTAGATAAGGTAGCCAGGCAAAGTATCTGTGAGGTAGTGACTGACCTATAAAATGAGGTGCGAAGGTTGAGAAGGAGCCAAGCCCAACTGTCCTATTATGAATTGTGGGAGAAGAAAGCAAGCAGGTGCCAAGGCCCTGAGGAGAGAAAGGTCTTGTCCCTTTTAAATGTAGTTCAAGAAAACCAGTGTGGCAGGAGAACTGGGCAGGGGAAGGGGTGGCAGGCATGAAGCATGAATGGTGGGCATAAGCCAAATCATGGAGAGTATTTAGGGGATTTCCCCGGGATCTGGAGTCCCTGGCTGGTGCCAACGGTTAAGCATTCCACTACTAACCAAAAGGATGGCAATTCAAATCCACCCAGAGGTGTCTCAAAATAAAGGCCTGGTGATCTACTTCCAAAATATCACAGCCACTGCAAAACTCTATGGGGCACAATTTTACTCTGACACTCATGGGGTCACCATGAGTCTGAACCAACTCTACAGCAACTGTTTTTTTTTTTCTCCGAGGATTACAAAGCCAGTGAGTGCCTGGGAGGGAATTCAACTCCAGGCAGCCAAAAGCCTAGAATCAAGGAACCAGGAAGAAATGTCCTCTGGACTTACTAATACTCATTTGACGCTTAATGTGTACCTGCACTAGGCTACAGAAGTACTTCACACGCTCTATCTCTGTGAGGTGGGTTGTTATCAAGCCCATCTTATAGTAAGACGTATTATCTAAATCCAAAGTCCAACCACTTAACTCTACCACGGCTCTAGACTGCCTTCCCTCTAGACTGTTCTGATGAGCACTCTTCACGGTTGTGGTGAATAACTCGTAGTAAATAGCCGTAATTATGATGTATAAAATCCATCAAGGAGAACAATCCATTAATAAAAATAATAGCATCTAACATGAACGGAACGCTTATTGAGGGTCACACAAAACCTTACTATTATTACCATTCCCGTTTCACGGATGAGGAAACTGAGACCAACCAGATTTGATGAGTAACGTGGCCATGGCAGGATTGAAAATCAGGTCTAACAGAGCCCACGCTACTATTAACTATGTTTTGCTGCTTCACCCTCAAAAAAGAAAAAAACAAACCCGTTGCCATCGAGTCGATTCCGACTCATAGCAACAAAGTAGAACTGCTCCACAGTGTTTCCAAGGAGCGCCTGGGGGATTCAAACTGCTGACCTTTCGGATTGCAGCCGTAGCACTTAACCACTACACCACCAGGCTTTACTCTCAGGGAGGTTAATTCAAGGCCAGGTGGCGCCAAGTAGAGGACCCTCACGTGGACACTCGCCTCGCCATATTGCTTCTGAAAGCCACAACGGCGAGCAGTGCGACCGCTATTCTGGTCCCCAGCCCCCGGGTGCAGCCGGACCGGTTCCGGCTAGAGGCGCGCTCACCCGGACGAAAGGTTCCCTCGGCAGAAGGTTCCTCAGCCCAGGATTTGTCCCCTCCCCAGCCGGAAGGCCGGTAGTACCTGCAGAAAACGCGTCCAGGGTCCTGCCCCGGGCTCTGTGGAAAATACCCCCCGCCTCCACGGCCGACATGGCGACAGAGCCTGTAGCTGCGCCTCAGCACACTGCGTGGGAGTGAGCGGCGTGAACCCACAAGGCCTAACCAACGAGCCTGTCCCGTTCGGGGCGGTGCCCTCTGCTGGGGACGGGGCGGGCCCGCGGGGCTCGGCCGCTCGGGGCGCCGCTAGCGCTGCCTGGGCGGGGCGCAGGCGTGAGCGGCTCCTTGGGGATCCACCCGGGCTTGTGGCAAGTGGAGGGCGGTTGTCTGGGGGCAGCATGGTCGGGGGGGTTCCTCTGCGCCCGGCTTTGGGGCCGGTCCTTCCCTAAAGGTAGGGTTCCCAGGTTATCCAATAAAAGTACAGGACACCGAGTTACACTGGAATTTCAGATCGACGACGAATAATTGTTTAGTATATATATATGTATGCCCCATGCAATTTGGGAGATGCTTATACTCAAAAATGTTTCGTTATCAGAAATTGCGGTTTTAACTGGGCGTTCTGTGTGTTATCTGGCAGCCGTTCTTTAAGGTAAAAAGGGCGGGGTCCTGCCTCAGAACAGCCCTCCAAGCCACCAGCCGGGATAGATAGGCGCCTTCAGGTTCCGGGTCATCATTATCAGTCGTCGTCGTCCACTGGGCGCCAGGCACTGCGGAAGCACTTTGCTTACAGCTCAGTTAATCCTCACAATAGGCCTAGGAGGCAGATGCTGTCCTTAAGCTCCTTTGTCGGACAGGGAAACTGGGGCTTAGAGAGAAACAATCAAAAAACGTTGCCCTGGAGTCCATTCCGACCCATAGTGACCCTATGGGGCAGAGAAGAACTCTCCCATTGAGTTTCCAAGGAGCTGCTGGTGAATTTGAACTGCTTACCTTTCGGTTAGCGGCCAAGCGACCTACAAAAGATAATACACATCTAGAAAAGTAGTAAAGCTTCCAGCGGCCCAAACTTGGATCAGTCCAGCTTAAAAGCCATTGCACTGAACTAGTAAGCTAGAGTTTGTCAAACTTGCTGAAGATACAAATTCCACGGAAGACCTACTGAATCCAAATCTTCAGAAGGGCCTGGTTTTTACAAGCACCCCCAGGGGGTTCTAATCATCTGTGACGTTTGGAAAATGCTCTTCTGAACTAGCTGCCTATATCTGAAGCACTCTCCCCCAAAGAAATCCAAACCCATTGCCCTTCAGTCAATTCCAACTCATAGCAACTCTATACTATAGGACAAAGTAGAACTGCCCCATAGAGTTTCCAAGGAGTGTCTGGTGGATTTGAACTGCCAACCTTTTGATTAACAACCATAGCACTTAACCACTACACCACCAGGGGTTCCTGAAAAAGCACTCTCTAGGCAGCTATCATAGCCAGAAGGACTGTCCTCTAACCTTGGACAAGAGGCATGCATGAGGCAGTAAATCAACAGTTAAGAATGTGAATGCCCAGGGGGTTCTGGAGCCAGACTGCCTGTGTTCTCATCCTGGTTCTAAGACTTGCTACTTGTGTGACCTTGAAAACCACTTAGTTTCTCCATGCTTCAATTTTCCCATCTATAAAATGGGAACAATAGAAGTATCTATCTTATAGGGCTGCTGGGAAGTTTGTTGTTGTTGTTAGGTGCCCTCGAGTTGGTTCCGACTCACAGCGACCCTGTGTATAGCAGAATGAAACATTGCCCGGTCCTGTGCCATCCTCACACTCACTGCTATATTTGAGCCCATTGTTGCAGCCACTGTGGGTTAGGATTTACAACATATATTTTTGGGGGACACAATTCAATCCATAACATCATCCAATGGCTCTACCAGTGCATTTCCAGTAATGCCAAGAGAGCTGTGCCCAACTGCTACCTGGTTCAAAAAGACACTATCTCACCAAGATAGTCATAATCCATCTGTTTATTCATGCAACAGTCATTTGAGTGTGCCTCAAGTGCCCTGCTTGGTGAGCAAGAGAGTCAAGGTAACTGCTCTCATAGAGCTTAGAACTGAGTTGGGCAAAAACAACATTAAACAAATAATTACACCTGTAAAAATATAATTACCAACCGTACAAAGTGCTGAGAGACAAGAACATGGTGGTATAAAAAAAGAACGGGAAGGGGAGCCACTTTTGTTCGGGAGGGTATGTGTAAGTGTGCATAGGAAGGCATCTCCATGGAAACAGCACTTAAGAAGAGCCCTTGATGTTCAAATGGGATTTAGTACAAATTTGGGGGGAGGGGTAATCTCACCCAAACCACATGCCTGAGATTGGGGAGCATGGTTATCTTAAATGAGATCTGGGTACTATTGCCCTGAGAAAAGGAGAATAAACCGACCAGTTGCCACTGAGTCCATTCTAACTCATGGTGACCCCATGTGTGTCAGAGTAGAATTCAGCTCTATAAAGACACTCTGGGTGGACTGGAACCACCAACCTTTTGGTTAGCAGCCGAAGGCTTAACTGTTTGCACCACCCAGGGACTCCCAGCTAATAAAAAAAGGAAACAACAGATAATCCACATTCTAGGAGTGAGGATTGGGGAGCATTGTGTATGGGCCACTGACTACCATGCCACACCCTTCTAAAAACTGCCTGTTTCTTCCCTCCCACCCTTTGTGCCAGCTATACATGTAAAAAGTCCTTATCCGGATGTCCAGATGTGTTGTTGTTTAGAGACTCAGCTACATTATTAAGAACATCAGCTGTTGTGCTGGGCTAGCCTCACTGCATGAAGCAGGCAGAACAATTTGCCCTAACATTAATTTGTCCTAGGCTGCCATGCTTTTATAGTTCTTCTACTTTTCATTTTGAACGTTTTATTGTGGTTTGGGTGAAAGTTTACAGAGTAAATTAGTTTCCCATTTAACAATTTTCTTGTTTTGTATAATTGTGGTCTCATACAATAATTGTCCTTTCGTAATTGACTTATTTCACTCAGCGTAATGTCCTCCAGGTTCACCCACGTTATGAGATGTTTTGCGGATTCATTATTCTTTAATGTTGCGTAGAATTCCATTGTGCGTATGTACTACATTTTGTTTATCCATTCATCCGTTGGTGGGCACTTAGATGGTTTCCATCTTTTTGCCGTTGTGAGTAATGCTGCAATGAACATGGGTGTGCATGTCTATTCGTTTCACTGCTCTTATTTCTCTAGGACATAAACCTAGTATGGGATTGCTATGAGTCAGAATCGACTCCACAGTAACAGGTTGTTTTTTGTTTTGTTTTGTTTTTAGCGGGATTGCTGGGTCATACCATATTTCTATTTCTAACTTTTTGAGGAAGCACCATGCCGTTTTCCACAGTGTTTGTACCATTTTACATTCCCACCAGCAGTGTATGAGAGTTCTAATCTCCCCACACCATCGCCAGCATTTGTGTTCTGGTTTTTTGATCGTTGCTATCATTGCTGGGATGAGGTGATATCTCACTGTTGTGTTGATTTGCATCTCTCTAGTATCTCCTCCTCATTGTCAGGTGGTGAACTATCACCTCTCACTATTTCTGCGTCTGCCTCTAGCAAGTCTTCACCGCTGGCATCCTTCCCTTGTTCAGAGGCCCTCTTTCCCATTACCCAAACCTGTAAAACCAGAGGACAAAGGTTGTTAGGATTGTGAGCCACGTTGGCTTACGGACTGCCAGTGAGCTTGGGATAAGAGCCCGATGCCTCATTTAGAGAAAGATGCTTGGGCTTTAGTTTTATGGACATTGTTATTCCTACTTAATTGTCAGAGGCCCTTTCTTTGGAAGCATTGGATTCCCAGGTCTGGACTCATAGATCAGGTTGGTTTCACCATTCTGGAATGAAGGAAGACATTCTGGTGCCGCACATTTGAGATATGTGGAAACGTGAAAGCACACCATAATTACTGAGCAACGTGGGTATCAGATGCCCCTCACCTTTACCCAGTCCTGACCTCCACCTGTTCAGGTGGGACCAGGGAGGGATACTCAGATGGTATCTTCCCCTTGTATGTGACTCTGTTTCTGTCTGTCTTCTTTTATAAGATACCACCCAGAAGAGAGTAGCATTAGGACCCACCCTACTTTTGTATGATTTCCTTAATTTAACTGATAACATCTGCAAGGAAAAGCCCTATTTCCCCAAACAAGGTCACATTCACTGGTGTAGAGGTTAGGACTTCAACATATCTTTTTAGGGGACACAATTCAATCCAAAACACCTACCATTTGGCTCTCAGAGTTTGAGTCTTTGAAAACTTGTTCCCATTGGATTTCATCATTTATAACCACAATCAGTACTTGATTTACAAGCTAAACTGGTACATGGGTTCAATTGTGTCCCCTAAAAATGTCGACTTGGCTAGGCCATGGTTCCCAGTATTGTATGATTGTCCACCATTTTGTCATCTGATATGATTTTCCTATGTGTTGTAAATCCTACCTCAATGATGTTAATGAGGTGGGATATGCGGCAGTTATGTTAATGAGGCAGGACTCAATCTACAAGATTAGATTGTGTCTTAAAATCAATCTCTTTTGAGATATAAAAGAGAGAAGCAAGCAGAGTGACACGGGGACTGACCTCATGCCACCAAGAAGCAAGAGCCAGGAGAATAGTGTGTCCTTTGGACCCAGGGTCCCTGCACTGAGAAGCTCCTCAACCAGGGAAGATTGATGACAAGGACCTTCCCTCAAAAGAGAGAAAAAGCATTCCCCTGGAGCTGGCACCCTGCATTTGGACTTTCAGCCTCCTAGATTGACTGTGAGAGAATAAATTTTCACAAGCTATCTACTTGTGGTATTTCTGTTATAGCAACACTAGATAAGTAAGACAGCTGGTGAGTCAGAGCTGAATTTAAGCCCATTTATTCCCATGAATAGCTCTGTGACCTTAGGTAAGTCACTTAACCTCTGTGAGCTTCCTTTTCCTCAACTGTAAAGTGGATGTATTTGTTTCCTAGGGCCATCATAACAAATTACCATGAACTGGGTGGCTTCTAACAACAAAAATTTGTTGTCTCACAGTTTTGGAGGCTGGAAGTCTGAATTCGGGGTGTCGACAGAGTCGTGCTCTCTCTGAAGGCTCTAGAGGCAGACACTTCCTTCCCTTGTCCAGCTTCTGGCAGCCCCAGGTGATCCTTGGCTTGTGGCAGCATAACTCCCCTCTCTGCCTCTGT